TTTGAACAGGCTTCTGAGAAACATCACACCAAGGATGGGAAAGGGCTGGAGAAAGGATGAGGATAAGCTACTATTTGCCAGCCTGTCAGGTGGGGTGGGAGGGTATAAGCAGATATGGGAGAAAGCAGCACTCCCCCCCTGCCCCAGTGAAAGTCAGCCTGGAGTACAGAGGAAGAAACATCTTACAACCCTGTTGGGGCAGATTGTGGAAGGGGGATGAAGAAAAACAGCTGTGCCTCCCATCTCTTCCTTCCACCCCTGCTTCCCTAACTCCACCCTCCAAGAACATAAATCAGACTGACAAGATTATATGGAAAATACTTCCCCTTCCTAAAGATGACAAAAGACTGGGCTGGATACTCCCCTCCTGGTGGGACTTTCATCCACCTCTGGGGGGAAAAGGAAAGGACCTGGACTGATGTCTCCCACCCCTCCAAACACCAGCGAGGGAACAGCCCTTTCCCGCTCTCTTACTCCATGTGGTAGAATAAAAGGCCTGCCAACAGAAGCATGCCAGTGATGGGGAGGAGGATTAGGGAACTCAGTGCTGGTTTCACTGTACTATGTTTGGTAAGCTTCCTCCCCGCCCTGTATCCCTCTTACCTCTGCCATCCCATCCCCTAGAACCTCAAGATTCTACCATTTTCTGTTTTTTCTAATGCTATCCGTAGCGTAACTGCAGCTGCCGAAAATTACTAGAAAAGGCTTGAGGTTGACAACAACAATATACAGGCAACTAATTATTGGAAGCCTTTAATTGCCAACTTTGAATTAAACCTTGATTCAAAAAATATTAATTGTTTAGCACCTGAGAAACCAAACAATTTCAGAGGAAAGTCATAACAAATAACCCGAGAAGTCCATACCAGAAGGTTTCTGGCAAGGATCTGTAATGCTGGACAGATCTCTGGAATTACAGAGGAGAGAAGCTGTTGCAAGGGCTTCTGTGCCAATGAAGAACGTTGTACATTTGGAGGCAGAGCAGATGTGCCAGTAATGGGACCTGACTATTGTCTCCGTCTGCTTCTCCCAAGTTCCTTCTCACTCAAATAAGAGCAAGCTTTGTTTTTTAAATTAAGTTTAAATACTTATCATGATACTTTTAAATAATAAGGAAGAAAAAGAAGGCAGTTATTCGGGTTGCTGATTAAATACACACCATATGCCAGCAATAATAAAATAATCACTAGATCATTATTTTTAAAAACAGAGTCCTATCCTGGATGTTTTTTTTTCTGAGTGATTTTCATACGGACCAAATGTGTTCACTTGACAGCCCTGCAGATTGAAGACATTGGCAACAGCAGAGCAAGTTTCCCCTCCCACTGTCCCAGAGAGATCTAAGCCAGGAGAGAGGAGAGTTCAGACCTCACAGCCTCTCTGCTGAGACTGGCACTAATAGGCCACTCCATGGCAGCTGTGATGGTGGTTGTTTTCATTAAATAGCTATTGGCTCTGCTAAGAATATAAGAGTTATTCCTAATCTGACAGACAAGTGCTTCAGCCACACACATCTTGAGCTGCACTACCCCAGTGAGCACAGTACAAACCCCTATGAAGGGCACATCAGAAAAGTTGTTCACTGCTTAACTCCAAAATCCTTTCCCCATCCCCCTTACACAAAAGCTCTCACTGAACAAACTGAATGTCAGAAAAACAGTTTTTAAAAGACAGTTGTTTGGCGCAGGGGAAAGTTACCTGGATTTGTTACACATTTAACTGCTTGAAAATGCACAACTGGTTAAAGAAAGCAGACTCTGTTCATCCCAGTACGAAGAGATGCACTTCCCCAAGTGAAGCCCAGCTTCCCCCCTGCTCTAAGTTACCTCAGCTCTGAGTAGTCTATACCAGAAGAAAACCAAGCCGAAACACTTATACCTTCTCACCAGGCAATGTTGGCAGGCTCAGGAGCTTCTGGGTAACAGCAGCATTTGTAGCTTTAATAGAACAATCCCCAACATAAGGGAAAAATCAACAAGCAGCTATAACCACCCAGAGTACTCAAGCAAACCATGCTACGAACACAGCCTTCTAGTCTGCTGGCTGGCCATTAGGTCACACTTTAAAGCAAAGGTGGGCAAACTCCGGCCCGCAGAACCGTCCTGCCCAGCTTGAGCTCCTGGCTGGGAGGCTAGCCCCCAGCCCCTCCCCCGCAGCCACACGGGCAGCACTCTGGGCAGCGGGGCTGTGCGCTCATGCAGGGCAGCGCACCTGGCTCCAGCAGGGTGGAGCAGCGCGGCTCCGGACATGCTGCTCTGAGCTGCATGGTAAGGGGCTCAGGGCTGGGGGGGTTGGATGTGGGGCAGGAGGTCCCGGGGCAGTTGGATGGGGCAGAGGTTCGGGGGGGAAGGGGGGAGAGGATCAGGGGTGGGGTCCCGGAGGGCAGTCAGGGGACAAGGAGCAGGGGGGGGTTGGATGGGTGGGAGGTTCTGAGGGGAGCAGTCAGGGGGTGGATAAGGGGCAGGGGCCAGGGCCAAGCTGTTTGGGGACACACAGCCTTCCCTACCAGGCCCTCCATACAGTTTCGCAGCCCGATGTGGCCCTTGGACCAAAAAGTTCACCCACCCCTGCTTTAAGGAGATGTTTCATTCACGTTTTATCTCCTACAAGGGTAACACTACCCTTCGAAAGCCTTTGGGGCTTATCTTAACCTAAGATTTAGTTCCTAAAGCACCATGTAAATTCAGTGTTACACTCAGGGATTTATTTATTTTTGGTAAACCCAGACTCCATCTAGAAAAATGCCTCTCTCTTTGGGTAGGGAGTCCCTCTGAGGCCCGGAAACAATAGCCTGTTGAGAAGCCCAGCCGACACCTCAGCTGCTTGTAATGCTGCTTGTAATGCGGAGCATACTCTGTCTGCAGCCTCAGGAAGGCAAAACTAAGAGCTTACATTCAGGAGGTTAACTCAGCAGCCATGAAGGCTAGAAAATTTGTTTTGTTTAAACGAAATGTTAAATTCTGTAAAAATTGATGCCTTAGCACCCATTTGCTACTAGCAATTAATGAAATAGACTATTCACACCCTGCCTATAACAACAATGCAGCAACACCTCTAGTACTGCTATCCACTTAAATGGATATAATGCAGCATCGTTTAAATAGTGTGTGTAATTCTGTTCTTACTTGAGCAATCTTTGGTCTCTACTTAAATATACCCCTACTCCAATACTATTGTCAGCTGCAAAACACATATTTAATACATCTGCAGAAAAATACTTTTAGATTGTATGATCTTCAAGGCAGGAATCATCTTCATTTTAGCCCACTGTTAGTGATAGACTGTGAAAGAAAAGAAAAAACAGTGCTACAAAATGTAAGTTAACGAACCTCCCAGGGAGCTCATATGTTGTTACAGATGAACAGAGGAACATAACATTTGATGTATCAGACAAAATCATTGGACTATCAAGTCCAGCATTCTGGCTCTGGTAGTAGCCAATATCCAGCTTTTCAGAGGAAGCTTGAAACACTCCTATAATGCATCTTGCCAACGGCGCTTGTACACGAGAAAAATCTCTTCCTGACTCTGAAGTATAAGATTTCATTACCCTTATCTTGAACAGATAATACCAATTCTACTAGGCTGTAGAAAAGTATTACTAGAATGTCAACATTATCCCACTTCCTTATGAATTCAGCTACACTCTCTATCCCTGACCTCCTATGAAAATGAATTCCACAGGCTGACTATCCACTGTGTGAAGTGGTATTTCAGTCTCTTTTTAAAGAGGAGGAAAAAGCAGTACTTTGCCTGTCTCAGTTATTTTATTGAAGCTGTAAGAGTCATAGGGAGCATTTTATCTCGTCTTTAAAATGCCAATACAGCTAGAGATTACTGACCCCAATTAACTGCTCTGGGGTTATTTGCTCACACACACCTTATTTGACAATTAAAAAGGTGTCATTAAATCTACAGAGAAAACACAGCACAGCATTTAGAGACCAGGGCACAAGCACAGATTACACCTCCTGTCTTGTCTAGCACTGTCACCCATACCTAGCATAGCTACTCAGGAGATTTATACTTTAATAAGTAATTACAGATGTGTCAAGAGTTAATCAGTTTGGTACATTCAGAATGGTAGCTAACAAGGCTAAAATTAGTGCCAGAGAGCCTTTGAACGCCAGGGTGGGAGCTGGATTCCCTCCTGAGCTATGCCAGCCCTTTCTACTGTTACCTTGCCTGGTTCCAGTAGAAGGATTCTGCATTTCTGTTGGCCTAGCTGTCATAGCAAAGTGGAGTAAAAACAACTGCTGGAGATATTGCCATGGCAGAGTCAATAACCAAACAATGAGAGAAAGGAACCTGGCAGAGGTTATGGAGGGTTGAATCATAGCCATGTGCACAGGGCATGAACGCACTGAAGCAGCAGCTTTACTTTCAGCCACAATACTGAGACTAACAAGAGACTGGGAAGTTCAGGGACTTCCTAACCCCCACCCCCCCCCCCTTCCAAGAAACACAGACGCACCTTTGGGAAGCAGGGTAAACGATTACAGGCCAAGCCGTGCCAAGCTCCCTAGCCCAAAGGGAGGGGCTCAAGGTGAGCGTCCCTCAGGCCCTGCCAACATGCAAGGCGGGAGAGGAAGCCAGACGCGCTCTCAGCAACATGAATCGATACAAACCCGGTGGGGGGGTAACTTCTCGGGGCTGTGCGCTTTTCTGGGAAAGGGAGGGGGTCAGCTCCAGCTGCAGAGCAAATCCAGGCTAAGTGCCTCGGCGCTGCAAATGTGCTGCCTCGCACAGCTGAGCCCACGGCGGAGGGGGACACTCCGCGCTGGTGTGGCCACCGCAAGGGGCCGGGACTCCCCAGAGGGCACCTCGCCCGAAGCCCCCCCTGGCTGGGGCACCTCCTCCCCCGCAGCTACACGGCGGGGGGGGGGGTGCAATATCCCCATGGGGAGCCAGCGCTCCCGCCCCAATAACCCCCTCCCTCAGCCCCTACATTGCTCCAATAACCCCGCCCCACTGCCCGCTCCCCCCGCGCAGGGGCTCACCCAGCAGCAGCAGGAGAAGGGGCGCGCTCCCCACGCGGTGCCCCATGCTGGCCGGGCTGCGTGCGGGGCGGAAGATGCTGCTCGGAGCCCCCCGCCCGGCCCCAGCGCTGCTGGACCCGCCGCCGACCCGAGAGCGCCGCGCACCAGCCGCTCGCTCGCTCGCTGCCCTGGCTGGGAGCGCCCGGGAGCCGCCCGGCCGCGCGGCGCAGCCAACCACAGAGACAAACTTTGCCAGCCCCCGCCCCCGCTCCCCCTCCCGCAGGTATCGGGGGGAGGCGCTGGGGTCCGGCCCGGCCCCCGCCCCCTTAAAGGGGAGGAGAGAGCCGGCCCCCGGCCCGCCCTGGAGCCCCCGCTCGCAACACATCCCCGCCCACCCCGGAGGGGCTGCCCTGCTCCGGCAGAGGAGATTCCCCGCCCGCCGGGGTAACCTCTGCCCGGGGGGAGGCCTGGTCACATGAGGGGAAGGGAAATCCTGCTCTACTGAGAGATTCCTCCTCCTCTCCTCCCCACGTCCCTGGACATGATGGGGGAGCTCCCATGTAAGGGACAGCAACAGGGGAGACGGATCCCTTGGTCCCAGACATGGGGTAAGTGGTGTACCCTGGTCAGTGGGAGGTGCTCCTCCTCCTGCCTACACACACATCCTCCCCCTGCCTGAATACACACTCATCCCGTCCCACCGACACACACACAGAGGAATTTCCCTGATCTCAAAGAAGTTTCCCTCCTCCTCCACACACACACACCCTGAGTGACACTCCCTAGTCGCAGAGGGGTCCCCATCCTCTCTCCTCTCACCAAACATGTCCACGTCTGAAACAGTGCAGTCGTCCGTTCCATAATATTTGAGCCACAGAAGTGTCACCGTGACAGACCCTCCACTCCCTGTGACAGCTGTCAGGAATCTGCCCCCGCAGGACAGGACTTCACCATGTGTTTGCGGGTTATTCCCCAACACCGTACACCAGCGGTTTTCAAACTGTAGGCCAGGACCCAAAGTGGGCCATGACCCTGTTTAATGGGGGCGCCGGGGCTGGCGTTAGTCTTGCCAAAACCCGAGCCGCACTGCTTGGGGCTGAAACTGAAGCCTGAAGGCGTTAGCCTGGGTAGCGGGGCTTAGGTTACAGGCCCCCTGCCTGGGGCTGAAGTCCTAGGACTGACCCCTCCCCCGCCTGGGGCCGCGGGGCGCGGGCAGGCTCAGGCTTCGGTTTCCCCTTCTGAGATCGTGTACTCATTTTTGTTGTCAGAAGGGGGTTGCAGTGCAATGAAGTTTGAGAACCCCTGCCATACACCAAGCATCTCCTCATGAGCTTCTACAGTCTTTTGGGAGTTCAATCAGTACTTTGACGGTTCCCTGCAGATTCAGTGACAGACTTCTGCACAGCCTAGTGCTATCTCTGCTGTCTCTCTCCTTTTTCCCTGGGTTAGTTAATTTTTTTTAAATTTTGGTTTGGTTTGTTTGTAATGGAAAGCCTTTGATCATTTCGGATTATTGAGGAAACCTGATTGAGGAAATATTTCTTGGACTCTAGTATTTTGGACACTATCTTCTGTTTCAGTTCTTCTGCCACATTACAAGTTGTTTCTCATCTCTCTTCCAATTATGCTTTATGCCTCCTGATCCCCACCTGGGTTACTGATTATCAATTGTTTGGTAAAAGGAGCCTGCCTCAGGTTTGCAAGTTTGACTGTGCAAGGATCTTCAGCAGTCTGGCTTGTTGGGTTTGTTTTTTATTTCCCAGTGCTTTGTACAATCAATTGGTGTTTTAGGTTTTGAGTATTCTTTGGTTTGGTGCCAAAGGGTTTGCTTCTCTGCTCAGGACATTGTTGAGAGCTGGGCGTGATTATAGGAATGGATTTTGTTTTAGTTTGGTTTAGTTTTTAATCCTCTAGTGCTTTGCAGTGGAAGGAGCATTTGCTGTCTTGGCCGACATGGATTCTTCTTGTAAATTGATTAGGAAGGTGAATTATGCTGTTTCTGCCCTGCCACCAGTATACCTTGGGTTTCTCCGCACATGTAGAATGTGTTTGCAGAACTGTACGTGTCCAATTTCTGTTGGGTTTTTAGTCCCATTTAGTGAATTTGGTTGGCAAAGTTGGGCTCCAGACTTTGCTTCTGGGTAAGAGAATTTTTCAGTTTAATTGAACAATGATTTGTTGACATGACAAACTAACCCAGTGCTTCCAAAGTGTAAATAAGACAGAAGCCACAAACATCTGTCTGAAGAAGGGCTATCCAGGATGGGACTTCACAGTATGTTTAAGATATTATCCCATGTTCATCTGTCATTACTGCCTACTCCTGATTAGCTCTGCTGTAGCTTTCCTTTCTCTTGGGGTTATGCTGTTTTTCCCCCCTAATCAATTACTTTAATCTGATAATTTGCGGATTCCTGTACTTTGGAAAACAGACTAGAAAATCTCTCTCTACCTCCACTGTCCTCTGTCACATTGGTTTAACAGTCGTTCCTCTCTCAAGCATTGGTCCAGCAAGTACTTACCCATGTGCTTAACTTTACTTGAATGTGCAGTCCCACTGATTTCAATGAGATTAGCCATGTACATAAAATTACGCTCATGTGTGCCAGTATTTGCAGGATCGGGATCTCAGTTTTCACTGTGCTTTGTGTCTCTATTTCCATCTCTAGCTGATGAACACTGATTCATAGCCTGAATTCTACTGTTGAATAGTTTTAGCAGCAGTTTTATCAGAGTTGTGGTTTCATTATGTCATAGGAGGCCTGAATAGTTTTTCCATGTGATACTTTAATAGCCAGTTTGAAACTTCCAAAGGCATCTATTATAAGGCCCAGCTGCAAAGGCCCAATTCAGAATTGCCCTATCCCTTGTGTAGTCATTTACACCAGTGCACAGGAAGTGAAAAACACTGCCATTCTGATTTGTTAGTACATTACATTCATTTTGCAGAGGTGTAAATGACTGCACAAGGTGAAAGGCATTGAAGATGCAGATCCTTTAACTTTGCATTTCGTGGAAACCCTGAATTTGGGAACTGTTTCCATGAGATTGATAGTTTATTGATGTATAAGTTGCAAAGAGCATGGCTGAGTTTGTTTCCCAGGTTTACTTTTCTTTTTTGCTTGAAAGATTGTTTGCTTGTTTATTTTTATCTCACCTTTGATGGATTGTTACTTGGATTTAAATATGTCAAATTTTCTCACCGATTTTATTTTGTAGCATCTTAAGGTTCAGTCTTGAGAGCCAGATTGAATCAAAAGCTTTTTAAATGTCTATAAAGCAGACAAATATCTTCCCATATTTGGCTGGTTGGTTGGTTTGTTTCTACATATTTATTTATGACATGCAGAGTAAATATGTGGTCAGTGGTTTGTTTCTCAGGAAGGAATCCAATTTGACTTTCATGCGTTACGTTGTTGGTTAGATACTGTATTATTCTTTCACTGATGCTGTTGCAGAATAGTTTACTGACATTTCTTCAAACACCGAGTGCTCTGTAATTATTGGGCTGAAGGCATCTCTCACTTTATCCAACCATATCTTAGGGAAGTGTCCAGACTTGAGGGTTAGGTTATAGTATACAGACAGACAGACAGGCACACACACACACACACACACTCACATCCAGTGATCCTGAAACACCACACACACACACACACTCACATCCAGTGATCCTGAAACACCACACACACGCACACACTCACATCCAGTGATCCTGAAGCACCATGCACACATGCAGAGCAGATGCAGCAAGACAAAGGGCTCCACATTCACACCACTCCACAATTGCCAAGTTTGGTAAAGCCCCATGCGTAACATTTTGCATGGACAAGAGTCAGTTATTCTCACCACCTAAGTAATAGAGGGCAGGGACAGTGTAGATTAGTGGTGGCCAACCTGCGGCACACGGACTGCCCATGGCCCACCAGGGTAATCCGCTGGGGGGCCGCGAAACAGTTTGTTTACATTTGCACGACCACCCGCAGCTCCCAGTGGCCACGGTTCGCTGTTCCTGGCCAATGGGAGCTGCGAGAGCGGCGCGGGCCACAGATACGTGCTGGCCACCGCTTCCCGCAGCTCCTATTGGCCAGGAACAGCAAACTGCAGCCACTGGGAGCTGCGGGCGGCCATGCCTGCAGACAGTCAATGTAAACAAATTGTCTCATGGCCCACCAGTGGATTACCCTGATGGGCCACATGCAGCCTGCAGGCTGCCCACCACTGGTGTAGATACATACAAACTCACCTAGAGCATTGGGAGCAAGTGTGAGTGGAAGCTCAACACTCCTTAGAAGCAGGTGGCAGAAGGGCCCATGCACATAAGCATCCAGCAAACCTAGCTTGGGGGGGTAAGGGCGGGGAAGTTCACAGTAGTGGTGGGAATGCAGGAGAAGGTGGTGGAGAGCCTTGGGTAGGGGAATCCCTCGCCTGGCCCTTTGTCTTGCTGCATCTGCTCTGCTCAGCTTGCTTCTGGCAGCTGCTCTGTGGTGGCTACCAACTCTGAGGGGGAACAGGGACCACAGAGACAGAGAGATGCTTAGCCACCTGTTCAGCAGGCACCACAGTGCCTACCAATAGCAGGAAGGAGCAGCTTCTGGAGAATACCTGTTGCCTCCCAGCTGGATGCGTGAGAATCCCAGGGGAGGGGCCCCTGTCAGTGTGAGTGTCCTCTGAGATGCCTAACACTTGGCAGCCTCGCCCCCAAGCCCTAAGCAATCCCTCAAAAGCCTCGATGCACATTCTCTGGAGCCTGAAACAAACTCACTGTCTCTGCCCACTCAAACATGCGACACTGAACTTTTTTGCAAAAAGAAAAGGAGGACTTGTGGCACCTTAGAGACTAACCAATTTACTTGTGCATAAGCTTTCATGAGCTACAGCTCACTTCATCGGATGCATACTGTGGAAAGTACAGAAGACTTTTTATACACACAAACCATGAAAAAATGGGTGATTATCACTACAAAAGGTTTTTTCTCCCCCACCCACCCCACTCTCCTGCTGGTAATAGCTTATGTAAAGTGATCACTCTCCTTACAATGTGTATGATAATCAAGGTGGGCCATTTCCAGCACAAATCCAGGGTTTAACAAGAACGTCTGAGGAACGGGGAGGGGCAAGGGTAGGAAAAAAACAAGGGGAAATAGGCTTGAATAGAGACTGGGAGTAGCTAACCTAAGTTAATTGTATCCAATTTGAA